GCTGTTGCTGCCCTTGTTTCTCCGTCTGCCCTTCATTACCACGCCCCATAGGTTGCTGCCCTTACCTCCTCCAGCCTCCCTCGCCCATGCCAACAGCCGTGCCAGAGAGGCAGCAGGAGCACATTGGTGGGCAGGCAGAGCGGCAGGATGGTGGTGAGAGATGTTGCAGTGAGGAGAAGGCTGTTGGTGAGGCTAAGATGTTCCAAGGTGTGCAGAGCTGGAGTGGAGAATTTTGTCGCGATATTAGTGCAATCATGGTTTGCGACGACAATATTCTGGCGACATACTCCATCTAAATACACACGTTATTATTGTTACTCAAAAAACCAATTTTTTCGGCGGAAGAGCACAAGTTGGAGTTTAATGAATACAAGGTTTTTTATGTTACATTCTCAAAATATGTAGGAAGGAGGACGGCCCCAGATGAAATCAACAGCGAGCGTATGTGTATTACTATGAAATATTAAAACTGTTCAATGACTACCCTGCTAAAAGTTTCGACCCAACAAACGTGAACGAATGGGCATTGCCGTATTTTATTTAGAAAAGATGGTAGCACTGATTAGAATTCTCCTTAGTCACCATATTAACTAGCATGAGATGTATTTTGACTAGGAGGCGGGATCAGACAAAAACATATACAACATACGGGTTTACAAAGGACTAAAAAGAAAAAAAAATCATATGAATATGTACAAGTTGTTTGACCTCTCATATTTGTCTGAAGCCAGGTGAATAAAAAAAAAAAAACAAACAAACAAACAAACAAACAAACAAACAAACAAGAACAACAACAACAACAACAACAACAACAACAACAACTACTATTACTACTACTACTACTACTACTACTACTACTACTACTACTACTACTACTACCACTACTACTACTACTACTACTACTACTACTACTACTACTACTACTACTACTACTACTACTACTACTACTACTACTACTACTACAATAACAACAACAAACCCAGTAAGACGATATGAGATTGATGATTATTACAAGGGTCCTTCATGCTGGTATGCGAAAGTGGGCGGTGGCTAGCGCAATCATGTAGCTGATCTAGAACGGTCCATAGTATGATGGTCAAATTTTTTGTGCATTGAAATATGACGGTTTTGTTCGTAGTCGGGGTAGAATGACAATTTTTTCATTGTGTGCGAATTCGATCCGCAATGGTTATGGTTGTTTGTCAAAGATTACCGTTTGTCTCATGGTACATTCCGCTTAGGACTTGTCCCTTAGGAATGTGTCACAATCAGTTTTTGACCGAGTCGCCCCCAAATGTCATTGAACTGTGAGAAGTTAGAACGAGAATGGGAATGACTAACAGGAAAGTGAGTACAAATATGAAACCCTAGAGTTCTGTACCCTCTAAGGCTAAACCCACTGTAGCCTACAAAGCTACAACATGCATAATGTTTGACACACCCCCATAGGCAAAGTGGGGGAGCACAAGAGGTCACAAGACCAGTCAAGCAAAGCAAGGCAAGGCAAGCTCAGGGTGGATCACAACGTCACCACACAGTCTGAGCACAAGTTCAAGGCCAGAAGGCCAGTTCACATGCAAGGGTACATATATATAACGCTAAACAAGCAAGGGCAGGTATATATATGTAACAGTACAAGCAAGGTCAAGAAGTAAGCAAGTGAGGCAAGGTAGGCACAAGACCTAACAGAGTACAGAAGCGCTGATGATCACAAGGCGCGAGTGCCTTAGTGAAGATATCAGCAGTGTTGGCCTCAGAGGCCACGTAAGCAAGGCGCAGCTGACCACGCTGCTGCAGCTCACGAGCAAGGAAGTAGCGAAGAGCGATGTGCTTCGTTCTGTGCTCCAGTCTGTGCTCCCGACACAAGGCCAGCATGGCCTTGTTGTCTACGTACAGCACTGGAGGAGAACGAGGCGGCTCTCCGAGGTCAGTCAGCAGGTAGGTGAGCCAGCGTAGCTCCTGTGCAGCCATGGCCCCTGCGTAGATCTCAGCCTCACAACTGGAGCCGAGAACAGAAGACGAGCGGGTAGACCGCCAAGAAACAGAGCCGGAACCAAGGCTGAAGGTGTAACCCTGTGACGACCGCTGCGTAGCCTGGTCGTCAGCCCAAGAAGCGTCTGCGTGACCAGTGAGGACCACTGAACTATGCCCTCCAAGCACAAGCCCCATGCCCGACGTACTGCACAAGTAGCGCAACACCCTCTTCGCTGCAGCCATGTGCTCTGGTCTGTGTCTCCCAGGAGCAACAAAGCGTGCCAGAATGCTAAGAGGGTATGCAAGGTCAGGTCGAGTGCAGGTCATCAGGTACATGAGGCAGCCGACAAGCTCTGGGTACGGGCCACTCGACTCTACGGACTCATCCGAAGGCAGAGCTGAGAGCGAGTGGCGTGTAGGCAGAGGAGTGGCCTGAGGCGAGGAGTACGTGAAGCCGAAGCGCTGAAGGACCTGCTGCACCATGTGTGACTGAGTCAGTGTAATGGTGCACTGTGCTCTATCCCGGGTGATCTGCAAGCCAAGGTAGCTGCGCAGTTCACCCAGGTCTGTGCACGTGTGTCTCTTCTGCAACTCGGACTTCACGTAGGCAAGTCCAGCAGTGTCAGCTGTAGCAAAGACCAAGTCGTCGACGTACACGAGGATATAGAACGGCGGCAAAGAAGTGTCGGTGCGCAGAAACAGCGACGGGTCGGCAGTAGAAGGAGCAAACCCAAGGGCCGCAAGTGTAGTCCTCAGTGTGTCGTGCCACTCACGAGGCGCCTGGCGGAGACCGTAGACTGGCCGTCGGAGGCTCCACTGGGTGCCAGGAGGAAACGTCCCAGTGAAGCCAGGTGGGCGGCGCAGCCAGATCTCCTCGTGCAGGCTGCCCTGCAAGAAAGCAGTGCTGAAGTCAAGAGAGTGCAGCTCGTAGTCTCGGTGAGCAGCTATGTGCAGCAGTACCCGAAGAGTGGTCATCTTCGGGGTGGGGGAGAAGGTCTGAAAGTAGTCAACTCCCTGCCGCTGACTGAAGCCACGAGCCACGTAACGCGCCTTGAAGACAGGCGGAGAACCCGGCGGCCGCTTCACCCTGAAAATCCACATGCCACTGACGATGTTCGCCCCAGGCGGGGGAACCTCGTCAACGTAGGTGCCTGTGGACTTCCAGAAAGCCATCTCTGCGTCCATGGCTGCCTGCCACTGAGAGGAGTAGGGACCCTCTATCGCCTCCGCGTAAGAGCGCGGAGTCGGGATGTCAAGTGCATCCGGGTCTCCCTCAGGGGCAAGCAGCATGGACACGAGATGAGGTGAAGCAGCAGCCAAGCACTGGAACTCCTCCTGCCTGTCCTCAAGGACGTCCGTGCCAAGAGCACACTCACCCCCGACGGACGGAGGAAAGACAGACTCAGACTCAGCGACGAGACTGGTAGCGTAGTCTAGGCGACAGCGAGCAGCGAAGTCAACAAGCTCAGCAACTAGGGCAGACGCAGCAGTAGACTCAAAGGAAGGGTCAGTGACGACAGTAGCAAGGAGACGCGTGACAGTAGGACGCGCAGCACGAAGGGAGTCCGACTCCGGGTCAGGAAGGTCAGGAAGAGAGGACGCTGGAGGAGAAGGCAAAGGGGCACGCAGCGGAGCAGTGGAAGGACGCAGAGACATCCGGTGCGTGCCGGGGACAGGGGGAGGACGCTGGCGCGAACCACGACCACTAGTGCGAGCAGCACGGACAGGCGACGCAGGGCGAGACGCAGGCACACGACGCTCAGCAAGACCTCCAGTAGGACCAGTGTAGGGAGAAGGAGAAGGAAGCGGGGAAGGTGGCTGTAACTGTGACTCAGACTGGACAGGAGGCGGACACTCTAAGGCAGGAGCAGGACCAAGAGAGGACGGAAGACCAAGAACCTGCTCAAGGAGCGGAACGAAGTACGGCCGCGGCCGCGTAGCTCCACCAGTGCCAGCAGGAACAGCACCAGCACCCCCAGCGGGAGCACCAGCACCAGGAGGACCCTCAGCTCCAGCAGCTCCAACTCCAGCACCCTCAGCAGCACCAGCGCCAGGAGCACCCCCAGCGCCAACACCCCCAGTAGCTCCAGCTCCAGTCGGACCACCCGAAGACGCAGCAGCTCCAGCTCCAGGAGCTCCAGCAGCACCAACGCCAGCAGCACCAGCAGCACCAGCAGCACCACCAGCTCCAGCACCAGGAGCACCAGCAGCACCAACGCCAGCAGCACCAGCAGCACCACCAGCTCCAGCAGGAGGAGCACTCGTAGGGCCAGCAGCTCCAGTACACTCGGTACGAGCACCTCTGGGACCCTCGGCACCAGCACTCTCAGCAGCAGTAGAACCTCCAGCTCCTGCAGCACCACCAGCTCCAGCAGCACGTCGCCAGCGCCGGGCGAACCACTCACGCAGCTCCTGTGGAGAGAGCAGCTCCCGCCGGGACGAAGCACCCGAAGAACTGTCAGGCTCAGCACCACCAGACGCCGGACGAGCAGGTCCAGCACCCTCAGGCTCCGCACTCCGAGACTCAGCACCCCCAGGCTCAGCACCCCCAGGCTCAGCACCCCCAGGCTCAGCACCCCCAGTCGCAGCACCCCCAGACCCAGCACCCCCAGGCTCAGCACCACCAGCAGCACCAGAGTCAACAGCTACCTCGACTGGCTCAACTGCATCTACCTGGGACACACCTGAGGGAGCAGGACCCTGAGGGGGGAGGGGGTCTACCGGAGGGGGACCTGGTGTAAGGAAGACACGGCGCGAGGTGGGGTGGTAGAACTGCCAGCCTGGCGCGTCAGGGGGAAAGCCAAGGAAGACACAGGGAACAGCACGAGAGGACAGCTTGTCCGCAGACAAGTCGCGGACAAACGCCCTAGATCCCCAGACCCGGAAACGCGACGCATCACCAACCTTCCCCGTCCACAGCAAAGCAGGGGAGGTCTCCGGCATGGAGACCCGGGGGTGAAGGTTGAGCTGATGCGCCGCGTACCGAACCGCAAACGGCCACAGAAAATGGGGAGCAGCCGCATGGATCATGGACGTACGAGCGACGTCCATGACCATGCCGATGCGGCGCTCAGCAATCCCATTCTGCTGCGGAGAGTCCGGAAGCGTGAAGGTCTGGCGGATGCCTCGTGCGCGACAGAAGGTCCGCAGAAGGTCAGAGGAGAACTCTCCGCCTCGGTCGGACGCCGAACAGGAAAGTCGGAGCCGAAACTCTCCTGGAGCTGGAGACGAGCCGCGCGGATCCAGGCGATCAACACCTCAGTGACGTCACCCTTGCTGCGCAAGGGGAAGACTGCGGTGTAACGCGAGTAGTCGTCAACCACCAGCAGGAAGTAGCGCTCCTGACCCTGCCCACGGACGCGGGCTGGGCCCCACACGTCCATGTGAAGCGTCTGCAGCGGAGCCTCTGTCGGAGGAAACTCGGAGGAGTGAGGAGCAGCGCGCTGCCGCCCCTCGACGCAGGGAACGCAGGTGGGGGCAGGCCCCAAAGGAAGGGGAGGGAGGGACCGGGGGAGACCAGAAACAAGAAGACGGGAAGCCATGCCTCGAAGGCGAGGCAGGGAGGGGTGACCAAGACGGTGGTGCCAGAGGAGAGTCCGGTGAGACAGGAGACGACACGAGCAGGGGGCAGACTCAGGACCAGACCTGGACGCCGCAGCAAACACCTGACCCGACGCTGCTACCTGAGCAGACTCAGTGACTGGAGGAGACTCAGTAGTCAGTGTGTACAGGCTCGACCCTGGCCGACGAGCAAACGTGGCCAAGTGGCGGCCCGTGTCCGCACAAGTGCAGTGGGTCACCCGCTGACGTGCAGGGGTGAACTGGTCAACTCCTGCATCCTGGAGGTCAGCACCCGCCACCAAGTTCGTAGAGAACGAGGGGAGGTAGAGACCCGACAGGGAGCCAGACGGGACCGCCGGACACGGTAGGACAGTGGAGTAGTGAGCAAGGACAGGACCCCCAGAGGGGTCCGCCAGGGAGACCGCAACAGGCCGACTGAGCGGTGTGAGAGTGGTGCAGTCTCGAAAGAAGGAGCGGGAAGCACCCGAGTCAAGGGTGAAGGTGTGGGTGTCCGGGGACGACGCAGCACCTGAGAGCGCAAACTCACCGGCACCTGGGGCAGCAGACGCACTGGCACCTAGAGCAGCAGCCTCACAAGTACCTAGCGCAGCAGCCTCTATGCCTGGGTCAGGCGGGAAATACCAGTAACAGTCACCCTCATCACTAATAGTCACAGCATACATGGCAGCAAGAATAGCATCAAAATCAAGATCATAGATTGCAACACCCGCCCTAGACAGCTCGCCCCAGCGAGGGATCTCAGTAGCGTCGGGGAACTGGTGGCGCCACGCGTCTGTCAGACGACCGAAGCAGCGCTGGGTGGGGTGCGCGCCCCCACACTGCTCACCCGCCCGGTCGCCGGTACGGAGAACGTAGGTACAGGGGCCAGCACCCCCGCCCCGCTGACGAGCAGCGTACCACTCACGAAGCTGCTGGGGGGAAGGGGTCTCACGGGTGCGCTGGTGCTGCTGCTGCTGGCGCGCACCACCACCGGAGCCACCCCTCTGCGCAGCGCCACCCCGACCAGCTCCGCCGCCTCCGCCGCTACCTCCTCCACTACCGCCACCTCCGCCACCTCCGCTCCCACCGCCACCGCCGCCTCCACCTCCACCTCCAGTCCCGCCACCGACGCCCCCACCCCCGCCACCACCCCCACCGCCACCCCCACCCCCTCCACCACCTCCACCTCCGCCTCCACCGCCCCCGCCAGCTCCTCCAGCACCCTTGCCCCCCTTGCCCTTGCCAGGGCGGCGTCTCCCGCTAGGGGCAGACGCCGCAGCGACCGACTCAAGACCAACGAGGTCGGCCGCAGCAGCAGAGGCAACAGAGGGCAAGAGGGGAGAGGGGGAGCACCCCTCAAAGACAGGGGTACGAGGGTCACCACGAGAGGCACCTACTGCGACTATGCTCTTCTCTGCCGCGAGCAGGCGCTCCTCGAGGAGGTCAACGGTGAGGGTGGTGGGGCAAACAGAGAGGAAGTGGTCCCTGACCGGGCGAAGGGTGTCAGGGAGCCGGGTGACTATGTAGTAGAGGGTGATGTACATGGGGGGGGGGGGTTCTTGGCGCAGAACTCAGCAGGAAGCGCAGCGCGGTAGCGAGTGTCACTAGTGCGAAGGTGCGTAATGAGGTCAGCGACAGTGGGAAAAGCGGCGAGGTCAGGGAAGAGGTACGGTAGGATGAGGCGGCTAAGCGCAGCAGTGGCAGGGGAAGAGTAGCGTGCAACTACAGCGTCGTACAAGGTCTTAGCACTCTTGTACTGGCTAAAGTGCGCACGCTCAGCGGTCGGCAAGTGGCGGCGCACAGCAAGGCGGGCAGCAGCATCGCGCGTGGCCCACTGAGAGCGAACAGTGGGGTCAGCATCAGCAGCAGGGGCAGGAGAGGCACCAGAAGTGAGGTCAAAGAGGGAGAGACCGTCTGCTCTTTTGCTCAGTAGGAAAAGCTGCAGGTCATCTACCCAGACGTCAAAGTCAATGGCCCGACCCTCAGCGTCAAAGGTGAGGACACTGGGGGAAGCCATGACAGCAGTAGACGAGCAGTGAGAGCAGCAGGCAAGGGCAGAGCAGTGGCGGAGGCGCTGCTCTTACCGGGCAGGCGAGAAGGACCGAGGCGCGCCGGCGGGAACAGGGCCACGACGGCAGGAACGGCGGCTCGGCGGCTCAGCGGCTCGGCAGCTCGGCGGCAGCGGCGTCTCGGCGGCTCGGCAGCACGGCGGCAGTGGCGGCTCGGCGGCTCGGCAGCTCGGCGGCAACGGCGGCTCGGCGGCTTCTGCAGCTCAGCGGCAGCGGCGGCTCGGCGGTGCGGCGTCGCGGCGGCTCGGCTGCTCGGCGGGGCCGCGAAGGTGTGGCGACGGGGCCGCGAAGGGCGGCGGTGGGGTCGCACGGGTGGGGCGACGGGGTCGCGGGCGGCTGCGACGACTGGGGGCGCGGGCGACTGTGGCGGAGTCGCGGGCGGCCGCGGCGACGGGATCGCAGGTGGCCGCGGCGGCAGGGACGCGGGCGGCTGCGACAGTAGGGCCGCGGGCGGCTGCAGCGACGGGGTCGCGGGCGGCCGCGGCGAAGGGGTCGCAGGCAGCTGCCGCGACGAGGCCGCGGGCGGCGCGAAGGGCGACGGGGCCGCTACGGGCGGCGGTGGGGTCGCGGGCGGCTAAGCCGCGAGGGGCGACGCCGGGGTCGCGAGGGTGGGGCCGCGGGGTCGCGAGGGTAGGGCGACGGGGCCAGTGGAGTCAGCGCCGGGGCCGCTAGGGCGACGCGACGGGGCCGTAAGGGCGGCGCGACGGGGCCGCTAAGGGCAGCTAGAGGGGAGCGCGACTCGGGCAGGGGCGGAGCGCGCTCCGGGCAGGAAAAAAAAGGTTGGTGGGCCCTAGGAACAGTTCCCACAAGGGAGCCTGCTCTGTTACCATGTGAGAAGTTAGAACGAGAATGGGAATGACTAACAGGAATGTGAGTACAAATATGAAACCCTAGAGTTCTGTACCCTCTAAGGCTAAACCCACTGTAGCCTACAAAGCTACAACATGCATAATGTTTGACATGAACCTCATGTCACAAAGCGTGAATGTACTGCGACCCAGAACGACCACGCGACAATTACAAGTCCAGAGCTGTAATTGGCCCCTTGCGTGCGACCCCCACTCATTGTACGCTCCTGCCGCACCAAAACAGCAAGCCACAAGCGGAAGTCGCGATACACTGGAAAGTCCGCCTTCCCCCAATAATTGCAAAAACGCCCCACGAAGGAAAATACCACAATCTATTAGCTCACCCATCGACTACAAGCAACACGATGGAAGCTAATCACGATCATTCCTGACAAGATGGCTGAGCCACGGTCCATCCCCTTTCTCCTTCGACGGCTCGTCGCATGGGTCGCCTACTACTACACAATACTCTATGAAACAGTCGCAAAATCATTCGTGGGCATGATTGAGGCTGGAGTCATAGAAGACCACAACGACTCCTCGTCATCACTAGGGGAGGACACTGGGGAGAACCGCCGTCACTGTGCTCGTGTACAATGGCAACGCTTTCGGCTGTTGGTAGACCATCTGCAACATATGCGAGACAACGACTGTGGTGACATTTTCCGTATCAACAGAGCCATCCTTTATCACATAAAATCGGGCATGCGCCATTGCCTAGAACTTGTCGTAGAGCGGACAAGAATCACGATGGATAAAACACTACTCGTGGCTATCAAATAATTGGCCAGTGGCATTTCATATGTGGACATGTCATACCTGTTTGGTGTCTCCAAAACTCTATGCTATGAGCTTGTCGACATATTCCTTACGGGGTTCCCTGCTATCTACAAGGCCGACTGGGTATGCTTCCCAACACGTGATGAGCTTGCAGAGATGGCACGAGAGTTTGAAGCCATAAAGGGGGTACCTGCGGTGTTGGGTGCTATAGACGAGACTCACAGCATGTGCGAGAACATGGCGGGTGTGAGGCGCACAAACATGGTATGGGAAAACCTGCCACGCAACTGAGACCCTTGGTGGAATAGGGGGCAATTCTAGAACATAAGTGGGAACCATGCATTCCCTGCACACAGCCGGCGTTGATGGAACAGCGGAAACGGTTAAGAGAGACGCTTCGTCAACGCCGCACACCCATATCTCAACATCGTCATCAGCAGGAGTGCCGATGTTGGCGTCGCCACCATCTTCGCGAGGCTGACCCGCGTCTTCTTCGTCTGGTTCTGGCGCGCTTCGATCAGGGGGTGGTGCTGATGCAGCGCGAGGCGGTGGAGGGCCATCGTTGAACACTCCACGTGTGGCTTGAGGTCGAGCTGATTCTGCCATGCTCTCGCGGGCAAGGCGCAAGTCGTGCTGCATCCATTCGCGCACGAGGCTCTCAATCCAATTCATGGCGTCCCCGTGACAATCCCTGATGGTGTCTGAGACTAGCATCGCGGCTTCCATGGTCGCCGTCTCGTGGACCCGCGGGCGTTTAGAAGTCGGAGCGTTCCCCGCGGGGGTGGGGGGGGGCTGTAATAGGGGTAGGAAATAGGTGACGTTCAGTTAGGGAAGATGACCGGTATGCTAACATGAGAAGTCGCAAAGAAAACGAAAGTCCAAATCTACCGCTATGTGAAAGTTACAACCGTGTCCTTAAGAAATGTTAACACTGTAGAAAACATGTCACCTGAGAATGTTGGCATTGATGTCCCGGGCTGAGAGGAGGTCGGCACCTCCACGCCGGCCGTCACGTTGACGTTTGTTGCTCCACCGCCGTCGACCGGATGCAGGTTGGCTGCAGCGGTGTCTTTGTTGTACAGCTCCATGTAGGGCCACCACGGTGATTTCTCCACTGAGCCATTTCCCGTACCACCGTCGCCACGTTTAAGTTCTTTTCGAAGGAGCATGAGGTTTTGCCACTGCTTCTGCAATGCGTTGATTCCCCGTATCCATTCCGGGTTCTCCTTCTTGATATGCGCGAGAATGGGCGCCCAATATTGCGTGCCGTGCTTCCCCTTGAGCGGCTGAAACTCGTCCTTCGTAAACCAAAGGTGGCAACGAAGATGGCGCTTTCGCAGTCAGACCACATGCTCTTCTCACGTGGGGCGTACGACCGTTTTTTCGCTGGCACTTGTCGGGATTCCTCCACGTGCGCTTTGCCCTTCGGCTTGTCAGCACCGGTTGTCTTGCTGGCGTTCCGTTTAGGCGGCAGTGTCATGGGTTGCGTCTCTTCTTCCGCGACGTCGTCCTCTTCATCGTCACCTTCTTCGTCCTCTGACATTCCGAGATCATTCGGTTCATCGTCGTCATCGTTTGTGCCGACCGCATCGCCGCGGTACTCTGGGTCATTGTCATCTTCCTCCGACTCCGCGACGTGCCGATGCATGGCGGCGGACCTGGTATTCTGACGCCGCACGCAATATGAACCCGGGCGAGGCGACTGGGCACTAGAACCTTGCGGGTCTGGCGCAACTGGAGCGGATAATCCAGTGGGATGACGGCCGTTGGCGATTTGCTGATTCATCTATCGGATGTAAGGGATCTCGTTGAGGTCCTTGGGGCAGTCGTCACGGTTCTGACCCTTACGTTTCCGAGGCATGGCTGCAGCCGACGATTTTCTAGATCTAGGTGAGACACAATAGTTTAGGCACCCTCAAGTGAGGTTTCATTGAAGAGAGATGCAACACATCACGGGGAATGAAGGTCGGAAGAGTAGTCCAGAGGGGGGATCGTGTATTGGGCCTCGGCGGGAGAAATGCGGGAGCGTCAAGCAGATTTTGTGCATTGATTGACCAATCCCGCTTCGTTGTATGAGTTCGATGGGAAAAAACGAACTGTAAAAAGATGTCCAGCTACATGCTGTGGGGACTGACATTTGGGACCGCGTGCGATGGCTGGTCCTTGTCGCGTTGGCGTGCAATTATCCAGCGACGATTCCGTGGTTTATGTCAGCCAATCGTAATAACATTTGACGATTTTGTTGGGCAGTCCGGAATTGCGACACATGGCAGCATATGCTGAAAGTACGCGTCACAATCGATTGTGGCATATTCTTAAGGGACATGTTATGAGCGGTTTGTACCCTCATGCCGAACTCTCCCCTCTTTTTTATTTTTTAATTTTGTTTATTTTTTATTGATTTCTTTTCCATAAGTTATTCATGAACTTCATGTCACGCCAATAAAAATTGCAGCTCATATTCCATTCAATAAGAAAAAGAGCAGTAAATGGACGGACAATCTCTTCGGTGAACATTAATTCATAGCATACAACATTTTCGCGAGGCGATCGACGACTACCATGACCATGTCGTTATTGCTTCATCCGGCTGATCCGTTTAAAAAAACCTACAGTAATTACACCAAATACATAACAAGAGGCGACGAAATCGTCTTAGGGTTGCGAAGCATTTTACATAAAGATAAGTACACAAATTTCTACAGGTTTGAATACTTACATAAAATTCTGTGGAAGTTGACATTTATGGCAATGATTCAAAAACAACTTCCGTAAGATTAGATCCTGGTACCTTCGGTTCTAATGCTTTTCCTCTTACGACTGCACTAGCGCTACTGCTCAGAAATGCAACGACAATTTATAGGTTAACTGTTAATACGACGAATCTGACTCTTTGTTAGGGTTTGCTCTTCCTTTCTTTCTCCCTCCCTTCTGCTCGCTGGTTTAGCTCCCCGCTACTCACGCCCCACCTACCGGTTCCTACTAAGGTGAGAACAACTCTACCTTACCGTTTCAAGTGAAATTAAGTTACATGATTACTAATGAGACTAGCATGTCTTAATCTCGTACCATAGTTGTTTACTCTTGTGTTGGCCGTGTTTTTTAAAACCAGTTGATTAAGCCTAGTTTATAGGTTCTAGGTATTCGTTTTCTCTTTCTCTTTTCTTCTCGCCAGTGGAGCTTGTTCGTTTGCCTCACGCTACTTACGCTCCACCTACCACTCTAAGGTCAGAAAGTTTAAGATGTCATTTAGAGTTGTTAGCCCATGGTAAGATGTAAGCTCTTATTGTCGTCATTTACTTCTTTTTCTTGATTAGCCCTCCCTCTCCTACTTTCTCTCGTTCTGCTGACGGGCTACGGGACTTCCGCTAGGTAAGCTCCTAACTTGCAACTTAAACTCGTTTGATACTTGTTAGGTCGACTATAATTCTAACATAGGACGACTTAGATCTAAACTAGGTCGGCTTAGATCTTGTTTTTTACACATGTTTTTTTTCCAAATCGTTAAAATCGTAATTTAATGAACCCTTTCTCTCTCTATCTCTCGTTCGTTCTCTCTCGTTCTCTCTCTCTTGTTCTCGTTTTCTCTCTCGTTCTCTCTCTCTCTCTCTCTCTCTCTCTCTCTCTCTCTCTCTCTCTCTCTCTCTCTCTCTCTCTCTCTCTCTCTCTCTCTCTCTCTCTCTCTCTCTCTCTCTCTCTCTCTCTCTCTCTCTCTCTCTCTCTCTCTCTCTCTCTCTCTCTCTCTCTCTCTCTCCTTGTGCCTGTAGTCCTTTTTTTTCTCAAAGTCGCCATCTATATCCCCTCAACTCTTATTTCCCATTTCCCCCCTTTCATTTCCCTATTTCCTACTTTTCAGAAGCTTTGCTGTACCATTCAGGAATTGAAGGTCCTTGTTAAAGGAGGAACGATCACATATGTGGCGATTAGGACTAATTGTGTTGTATTGCTTGGTAGTGATTTTTTGCATCTTCTGTGTTTTTTTTTTTTCCTTCGTAAGTTCTTTTTGCATTGGCTTGTTCCGAACTTCTATGCGTGCGTGTGTCCGTCTGATTGCGTGCGTATGTGTCCGTATGTGTGGCATTCATCTACCATATCATTATCCATCTATTATTTCATTAACAATGCATGTCTGTGGTTTTTAGAAATGAGAATCAGTTCTATCATTTCCCAAAGGTTCATTGAGTTACACTCGAACGGGTACGCTCACTTGAACTGGATTTGGTAGGTTGATCTCGTTTTTAGACTTCACAGATTGTGTTGTTTCATGTGATAGTTGATTATTCAAAATCGTTAACTAAGCTATTGACCTCCCCCCCATGCTAGGCAGGGGATGGCGGTAGCTTAGTTTTTGGGTTGTTAACTATCACGCATTTTATCATGTGCATGTGCATCATTCATGACATATCACATGCATTATATAGCATCATTCTATGCATTATGCATTGTATAGCATCATTTATGCATTACGTATGCATCTCTTATCATTACACAACATCATTTAACAGTAACACATAATGGAAACTGTACAGCAAATCATATGGTTTAATGAACTACAAACAGGACCGTATTCAAAACTGCTCAACATGCATACAGTATGGGAAGGGTATTACTGTAGTTGACACATTTTATTTCCATGATTTTAAAAAATATAAATATGAAAATAAAATTTGGCAAAATCGATCGTAAAGGGTTGCTTCGCAACCCAAAAAAAATATATTTTTAATTGTAACTTTGCATTCGTATTGGATGCTAACAACATTTATGGTTCTAAGGATGTAAGGAAGAGCTGTTCAGTTTATTCTCTTTATTGAAATTGCAAATGAATAAGTTTGGTGCTCGTCAACGAAGTCAGGGTGCATTCCTACCTCGTGTCAGACACGAAGTGGTGGTTTGGATGGAGGTTCGGAAGACCCGAAGTGGCCCACTTCGGGTCTTCCGAAAATTGATTTGCCAGAGTTCCAGGTCACTTCGGGTCTTCCTCAACTTCACTTCGTGTCTGACCTCATGTCAGACACGAGCCAAGAATGCGCCCTCAGCCACTGCCCTAGCTTGCAGACCTGGCAAGATTTCGGGGCTCGACACGTCCCTGCTGGCGAGCCACGCCACCATCGAAGCCCACCTCACCTTCGATTCTGGAACTGTATGGTAACTCGACGACAAATCGCAGACGTCGCAATGGGCACTCCAACGTTTCATGGGAGGTCGCTAATTTACGGATGCGACGTTGTCAGGGATGTTGGCCTGTCACAGCCACCCAGAATCGCACGGTCAATTTGAACTGCGATCCAATCTTCCCATTGCGTGTTTGCAAATGCGATCTTTTCGGGCAGAACCACGCGGCTGCCCGTATTTAGGGTTGGGGCTCCCCGTGTTTAGGGTTGGGGCTCCCCTAATCGCATGCCATCCAGATGGGGTTTATTTTTTTCTGACCGCGGGCAGATAACGACCCCTCAGCTTCTTCCACTGGGGATCGCATTTGCGAACCGCGCTGGCTAAATTGGATTGCAGCTGAAGTTGTCCCCAGAATCGCATAACAATCCACCAAGAAACTGGGTTTGGTTCGATGGGAGTGCAGTTGGGGTGCTTTGATGGGAGGGCTTGATGGTGTTTTAAATGTGTGTGCTATTGGGGTTTTCTTGGGGTTGTGTGTGCTACTTTTTCTTCCTTCTTCCCTGTTTTTCTTCCTCCTATCATTTTTCCCCTATTCCCCTCCTTCTTTCTTCCTCTCTCCTTTTTTCTACTCACGTTATTCCTCCTTTTCTCCTCTCTTCCCGTTTCCACTCCTTTTCCTTGCGTAATTATGCTACATTGTAACAGATAGTGCAAAATGATTCATGGGCCTGATTAAAAAAAAAAAAAAGAAACTGGGTCTCCCTTCACTCCCCACCCTTGCCACTACCACTAAATTTCTCCCACTAGTTTCATCCTAGCGTTTTTCTCATCAGACAGTAGTTTCTTCATTCGTCTGCACTCACGCGGTAACAGGAGCTTTTTGGCTTAACAGTGTACATATATCACGCGTTTCTACTGAACCTTAATCGGTGTACTATTCGCGGCGTTAAACACACAGCGATAAAGACTATACTATTCGAAATCTGCCAAAATTGCACTTTCCCTTTCCGCGATGTGGAAGCTCCGCACCACGATGGAAACGGACGGAGGTCCTTTTCCGCGATGGGGATGCATCATTCGGCTCGGTTCACTTACCATTCTACTAACGTGTCTCGTCGTGGTTTCTCCAGTCCACTGTGTCACCTTTGCAGCCTCCCAAGGTTTGTCCTTGTAGAGCGAAATTATTGGCCTTGTAGGCCGCCCTCCCTCACCTCCAATCTGCGCGTCTTTCCTGCGAGTTTCTCTGAAAAATTCATGAGATTTGCAGTCTTGGTGACAGACACCCGAAGTACTACTACCAGCGTAGCCCCACCTGCTAGATGCTTTCATTCCCCCCTGCTGAGCCCTTTGATTTCCACCTGCTAGGCCCTTTCATTCCCCCCAGCTAGGCCCTTTCATTCCCCCCAGCTAGGCCCTTTCGTTCCCCCCAGCTAGGCCCTTTCATTCCCCCCAGCTAGGCCCTTTCATTCCCTCCAGCTAGGCCCTTTCACTCCCTCAAGCTAGGCCCTTTCATTTCCCCTAGCTAGGCCCTTTCATTCCCCCCAGCTAGGCCCTTTCATTCCCCCCAGCTAGCCCTTTCATTCTCCCCAGCTAGGCCCTTTCATTCCCCCCAGCTAGGCCCTTTCATTCCCCCCAGCTAGGCCCTTTCATTCCCCCCAGCTAGGCCCTTTCATTCCCTCCAGCTAGGCCCTTTCATCCCCCCCAGCTAGGCCCTTTCATTCCCCCCAGCTGGGCCCTTTCATTCCCCCCAGCTAGGCCCTTTCATTCCCCCCAGCTAGGCCCTTTCATTCCCCCCAGCTACATCACAAAAATCAAGTGGCCGAAAACCTCTCATGATGTGTTTTTCATGTGTTTTTGCAGATGATTTGAAGATGTAGGGGTCGGTACTTTTTTAGAAGAAAGTATCGAACTTTTTCCAGATGATCTGTCAGATGCTTTGTAGATGGTTGGAGTGTTTTAAAACAATTTCGAAATGGTTGTGAGGAACTTCTAATTGTGTTTAGGATAACTCGTTTTGATCATATTTGTTTAAATTATGTGATTTTTTTTTGACTTGGATAAGTTTTGCTATACACTTTTATATGCACATAATAATATAGGAAAAGGGATATGCAACATTTCAAGAAACCATAATTGGATATTGAAAACCACAATTGGTAGTTTGTATAGGGCTTTCCTTAAATTCACCGTAAGAGGGAAATAATGTACGTGTAAATCATAATATTAGCTTGAAGATGCTTACAACACAGTAGATGCTTCGGCATCCTCTGGTACCTAGCTAGTCTACTACTCATCCCCAATCTATGGCACCTGCGCTACTACTCCCCGCTATCAACCCCCAGGTCCATACTATGCCACATTCTTCCTGCTGTGCTACTCCCTGCTACATCCTCCCTACTGTACTGCTCCACTCTGCATCCTCCCTGCAGTGCTACTCTCCGCTGCATCCTCCCTGCAGTGCTACTCTCCGCTGCATCCTCCCTGCAGTGCTACTCTCCGCTGCATCCTCCCTGCTGTGCTACTCTCCGCTGCACCCTCCCTGCTGTGCTACTCTCTGCTACATCCTCCCTGCTATGCTACTCTCTGCTGCATCCTCCCTGCTCTTCTACTCCTTGCTGCATGCTGTGCTGCTCCCCGCTGCATCCTCCACGCTGTGCTACTCCCTGCTACAGCCTCCCTGCTACAGCCTCCCTGCAGTGCTACTCTCTGCTGCAGCCTCCCTGCAGTGCTACTCTCTGCTGCAACCTCCCTGCAGTGCTACCCTCTGCTGCAGCCTCCCTGCAGAGCTACTCTCTGCTGCATCCTCCCCGCCGTACTACTCCGAAATGCATCCTCCCTGCCGTGCTATTATTTCTTAACCCCGCCCCCGTGGTGTCAAACCTTTGCTTTGCCCCGATGTTGTTACTACCGTTCTCCCCTCCTCCTGCACACCTCTCCTTGCTGCTACTCCTCTCCTCCCTTCCCTGCTGTGGTACCTCTCCTCCCTTCCCTGCTGTAGTACCTCTCTTCCCTTCCCTGCTGTGGTACCTCTCCTCCCTTCCCTGCTGTAGTACCTCTCCTCCCTTCCCTGCTGTGGTACCTCTCCTCCCTTCCCTGCTGTAGTACCTCTCCTCCCTTCCCTGCTGTGGTACCTCTCCTCCCTTCCCTGCTGTGGTACCTCTCCTCCCTTCCCTGCTGTGGTACCTCTCCTCCCTTCCCTGCTGTAGTACCTCTCCTCCCTTCCCTGCTGTGGTACCTCTCCTCCCTTCCCTGCTGTAGTACCTCTCCTCCCTTCCCTGCTGTGGTACCTCTCCTCCCTTCCCTGCTGTGGTGCCTCTCCTCCCTTCCCTGCTGTGGTACCTCTCCTCCCTTCCCTGCTGTGGTACCTCTCCTCCCTTTCCTGCGTTGATACCTCTCCTCCCTGCTCCTACTCCTCTACGCCCTTCCCTGCTCCTACTCCTCTCCTCCCTTCCCTGCTGCTGCTCCTCTCCTCCCTTCCCTGCTGCTGCTCCTCTCCTCCCTTCCCTGCTGCTGCTCCTCTCCTCCCTTCCCTGCTGCTGCTCCTCTCCTCCCTTCCCTACTGCTGCTCCTCTCCTCCCTTCCCTGCTGCTACTCCTCTCCTCCCTTCCCTGCTGCTGTTCCTATCCTCCCTTCCCTGCTGCTGTTCCTATCCTCCCTTCCCTGCTGCTGCTCCTCTCCTCCCTTCCCTGCTGCTGCTCCTCTCCTCCCTTCCCTGCTGCTGCTCCTCTCCTCCCTTCCCTGCTGCTGCTCCTCTCCTCCCTTCCCTACTGCTGCTCCTCTCCTCCCTTCCCTGCTGCTACTCCTCTACGCCCTTCCCTGCTCCTACTCCTCTCCTCCCTTCCCTGCTGCTGTTCCTCCCCTCCCTTCCCTGCTGCTGTTCCTATCCTCCCTTCCCTGCTGCTGCTCCTCTCCTCCCTTCCCTGCTGCTGCTGCTCTCCTCCCTTCCCTGCTGCTGCTCCTCTCCTCCCTTCCCTGCTGCTACTCTCTCCTCCCTTCCCTGATGCTTGGGCCCCTCCGCCCTTCCCTGATGCTACTCCTCTCCTCCCTTCCCTACTGCTGCTCCTCTCCTCCCTTCCCTGCTGCTACTCCTCTCCTTCCTTCCCCCCTCCTACTCCTCACCTCCCTTCCCTGCTGCTGTTCCTCCCCTCCCTTCCCTGCTGCTGTTCCTATCCTCCCTTCCCTGCTGCTGCTCCTCTCCTCCCTTCCCTGCTGCTGCTGCTCTCCTCCCTTCCCTGCTGCTGCTCCTCTCCTCCCTTCCCTGCTGCTACTCCTCTCCTCCCTTCCCTGATGCTACTCCCCTCCGCCCTTCCCTGATGCTACTCCTCTCCTCCCTTCCCTGCTGCTGCTCCTCTCCTCCCTTCCCTGCTGCTGCTCCTCTCCTCCCTTCCTTGCTGCTGCTCCTCTCCTCCCTTCCCTGCTGCTTCTCCTCTCCTCCCTTCCCAACTGCTGCTCCTCTCCTCCCTTCTCTGCTGCTACTCCTCTCCTCCCTTCCCTGCTGCTACTCCTCTCCTCCATTCTCTGCTCCGATTCCACCATTCATCTCCTCTAGACGTGTCCTGCTGCCACCCTCCTTGTCGGGTTGCGAGGTTGTGGTCTTGGCCTATACTCCTCGAACCCCGACTCATGGACGAACAAGCCGAAGTTCCCCCACTTAAACCCTTTCATCCGTGGATCGTACACAGGGTTCACCTGGCGGAAATGATCCGTCACCGCCCGTTTCACCGCCCTGCGGATGCTTGTCACCCACCGCGTGTTCTTACGGTGGGAGTTGGTGAGGTTCATCGTCGACTTCTTGATCTTCGACAAGCCGTAGTCGATCTGCGTTGTCAATAATGGAAATCATGAACAAATTCAAGCTTGATAAGGATGTGTGAGAGGTTTACGGTTATGCGGGGCAATCACAACATGCAGGAAAGTACGCCACAGTGGTAGAATGTGAGCATGAGACATGAGTGGGCGCAACTTTGGAAGGAAATGGGGAACCAATGAGTGTTCGGAAACACCTGAGGGGTTTAGGGTTCTGATGGGTACTGCATGGATGTGAGGAGAAAGGAGAAAAGGATTAACAATGTAAGTCCGTGAGTGGAAGAGTGAAACCAGAGGGTTTAGGGTTCAGCTCGAAAGGGCTGCTGGAAACTTAGGTTTCAAGAAGCAACTGATGGGAAACTGGAAACACGAGTGTATAAGGTGTACACTTGATGGCATGGGGCAGGTGGAAAGACAAGGAAAAAAGAACCGTCTAGAGAAACACGCTAAAGGGCCCTAACAAGTTACTCACCACCAAGATAGTCCATGCAATGTGATATGCCTTCAAGCAAATGTCGTTCCCAGCGGCAAATTCACCAAATGCGTCCATGGCCGCGTTGAAGAAGATCTCGTTGCCGAACGGGAGATCACTATCCTCGGCGTTTCCCCATGTGCTTGTCAAACATTGCATGTTTATATTGTCTAGGCTGTAGTGGGTTACACCTTAGGGGGTACACAAAGTTAGGGTTTACTACTTGTACCAAACTCTGTTCTAGTTTATTCATTCCTGCTCAGTTATTTCTGACATGGTTTCAGAGCAGGTCCTTCGCTAGGACTGTTCTTAGGGCCCACCGACTTACCTACCTGCTTACCTTCGCTTGTTTCCGGCCCCGCTGGCCCCGTCGATCTAGCACGATCTAGCGGCCCTGCGGCCCCGTCGAAATTTTTTTTTAGCGGCCTCTCACGGCCCCCGTCGCGTCGCCCCTTAGCGCCCCGATCGGCCCCGTCACGCCGCCCGCGAACCGCACAGCGCGCCGCGCTCACAGCCCGCGAACCGCCCGCGCACAGCCCGCGACCCGCCTGCGCAGCCCGCGACCAGCCCGCGCAGCCCGCGCACAGCCCGCGAACTGCCCGCGAGCAGCCCGCGACCTGCCCGCGAACCCCCGCGAGCCGCCCGCGACCCGCTTACGCAGCCCGCGAGCAGCCCGCGCAGCCCGCGCTGAGCCTGCGCGGCTCGTGCGCTGACCGCCGCCGGCCCGCACGCTGCCCGCACTGCTCCCGGCCCGCCGCTGCTGAGCCCGCAGCCGCCCGCGCACCGCCGCTGCTGAGCCCGCCGCCGCCCGCGCACCGCCGCTGCTGAGCTCGCCGCCGCCCGCGCACCGCCGCTGCTGCGCCCGCTGCCGCCCGCGTATCACCGCTGCTGAGCCCGCCCCTGCTGCGCCGGCTCTCGCTGCCGCCTGCTGCGCCTGTGCACCACTGCAGATCCTACTACTACACTTCCTGCTACTGCTGCTTGTGCGCCACTACAGTCTGTAGGCCCCACCGGCCCTGCTGACCCTGCGCACGCCTGTTCAGTGACTTTACTGCTTCTACTACTGCCGCTGTCGCTATGGCTAGTCCTCCTGTTCTAGCTTTCGACGCCGAGGGCCGTCCGGTCAAATTCGAAACCTGGCTAGATGATCTGCACCTTTTCCTACAGCTCACTGCCAAGGAAGATATTACACTGTACGACCACGCTCTCGGCCATGCGACCGCCCCACTCGCTACTGCCCCCCCAACTGAGCGCTCACAGTGGCAGACCCGTGACGCGCACGCTCGCTTTGCTATTCGCAACTCCCTGCCGCTAGATGAGCGCGAGCACTTCGGCCAGTGCAAGACTGCTAAGGACCTCTACACAGCTGTAGTGGCCCGCTACTCCTCACCCGCTTCTGCCACACTAGGCCGCCTCACTCTCCCCTACCTGTTCCCCGACCTAGCCTCTTTTCACACTGTCGCAGACCTCATCACCCACCTTAAGACTAGTGAGGCTCGCTTTCGCGCTGCCATGCCTGATGAGTTCCTCGCTAGCAACCCCCCCCCCGCTCTGGATCACTCTCTACCACGTTGTCACCCGCCTCCCTGACTCTCTGCGCCCTGTCAGGGACCAGTTCCTCTCTCGCTCCCCCACTGAGCTCACCATAGCCCTCCTCGAGAAGGAACTGCTTGCAGCCGAGGCTAGTATCGTCGCTGTAGGCACCTCTCGTGGCGACCCCCGCGGCCCCTTCTTCGAGGGGTGCTCCCCTTCCCCCCTCCTCCCCTCTGTCGCCTCTGCTGCTGCTGTCGACCTCCTTGGTGCTGAGAAGGTCGGGGCTGCGTCTGCTTCAGGCGGACGACGCAGGGGCAGGAGTGGCAGGAGTGGGGGTGGTGGCGGAGGAGGCGGGGGTGGAGGTGGTGGCGGTGGAGGTGCGACTGGAGAGGCTAGTGGCGGCGGTGGTGGAGGTGACAGCGGTGTTGGGAGTGGTGACAGGGGCGGAGGTGGCAGCGGAGGCGGAGGTGGTCGTGGCAGCGGCAGGGGTGGAGGTGGCCGGGGCGGAGGCGGAGGGGGTGGTGGTCGTGGAGGCCCGGCGGGCGGTCAGAGTCAGCAGCCTGCCCCGACCCTTCAGGCCGCCCGTGAGTGGTATGCGCGGCGCAGCGTCACCTGCCAGTACGTTATTCGTACAGGTGACCGCACTGGCCAGACGTGTGGGGGGCCGCACCAGACGGAGCGCTGCTTCGCCCGCCTCAACGATGCGTGGCGCACTCAGTTTCCTGGTGGGGGTGAGCTGCCGCGCTGGGCTGATCTGCTCAGGAAGGGTGTTGATATTTGGGCACTTGACTTTGATGCTATTCTCACTGCCATGTATGCGATGTCTATTAGTGGAGAGGGTGCTCAGTACTTGCGTGTTCCGCCCGACCCGGGCATTCAGGCCAGCCCTGCTGCTGCACTAGGTGCTAGTGTGTCTGCTTCCACAGGTACTACTGCAGCTGCTGCTCTAGGTGCTTCTGCGTCTGTGCCCCCTGGTACTGAGTCGACTGCAGCACTGCACACCTTCACACTTGACTCAGGTGCTTCTCGCTCTTTCTTTCGTGACCGCACTGTCCTTGAGCCTCTAGCTCGGCCGGTTGCTGTCTCTCTTGCTGACCCCTCTGGGGGTCCGGTCCTTGCGACCTCCTCCACCACCCTTCCGTGTCCAGCGGTTCCGTCCGGCAAGCTCTCAGGTCTCTACCTCCCCTCGTTCTCCACGAACTTGGTGGCAGGTAGTGCGCTCCAGGACTCGGGTGTTCACCAGTTCACCCCTGCCTACGAGCGTGTGACTCACTGCACGTGTGCTCGGACGGGCCGCCACCTGGCTACTTTCACTCGAGAGCCGGGGTCTGACCTGTACACACTGACCACTGAGTCCCCTCAGGTAGCTGCGTCTGCGTCAGCGTCAGGTCAGCTGTCCGCCCCCTGCTCGTGTCGCTCTCTGGCGAACGACACCGTCCTCTGGCACCACCGCCTTGGTCACCCGTCTGTGCAGCGCCTGCGGGCCATGCACAAACGGGACCTTGTTGCTGGTCTTCCCAGGGTGCTCCCTCCCCTTCCTGACTCCCCTGCTCCTGACTGCATTCCCTGTGTCGAGGGGCGGCAGCGCGCCGCTCCTCACTCCTCCTCCTTTCCCCCGACGACCGCTCCCCTGCAGACGCTCCACATGGACGTGTGGGGCCCAGCCCGCGTCCGTGGTCAGGGTCAGGAGAGGTACTTCCTGATAGTTGTTGACGACTACTCGCGCTACACCACGGTCTTCCCCTTGCGCGCCAAGGGTGACGTCCCTGGTGCTTTGATCCCCTGGATCAGCCGAGCCCGTCTCCAGCTAGGCGAGCGCTTTCACTCGGACTTTCCTGTCCTGCGCTTGCACTCTGACAGGGGTGGTGAGTTCGCCTCCGACCTCTTGGCAGCCTACTGTGCTGAGCACGGCATTGAGCAGTCGTACACGCTTCCGGCCTCTCCACAGCAGAATGGGGTTGCTGAGCGCCGCATTGGCTTAGTCATGGAGGTCGCTCGTACCTCCCTGACCCATGCGGCTGCTCCCCACTTTCTGTGGCCGTTTGCAGTCCGGTACGCAGCGCATCAGCTCAACCTCTGGCCCCGTGTCTCCTTGCCGGAGACTTCCCCGACTCTACGGTGGACGGGAGAGGTTGGCGATGCGTCGCGTTTCCGGGTCTGGGGATCTCGAGCTTTTGTCCGCGACACGTCCGCGGACAAGCTCTCGCGTCGCGCTGTTCCCTGTGTCTTTCTTGGCTTTGTTCCCGACGCGCCTGGTTGGCAGTTTTACCACGTCACCTCGCGCCGGGTTCTGGCCTCTCAGGACGTCACTTTTGACGAGTCCGTCCCCTTCTACCGCCTCTTCCCCTACCGCACTGCCCCGCTCCCCCCCCCGCCTCTCTTCCTCGCTCCAGGTGCTGAGGTACCAGACCCCCTCCCCCCTCAGGGTGCCGCTCCCTCAGGTGTGTCCCAGGTAGACCCGAGTGAGCCTGTCGAGGTAGCTGTTGACTCGCGTCCTGCGTCTGGGGGTGCTGAGCCTGGGAGTACTGCGTCTGAGGGTGCGGAGCCTGGGGGTGCTGAGCCTGGAGGTGCGGAGCCTGGGGGTGCTGAGCCTGGAGGTGCGGAGCCTGGGGGTGCTGAGCCTGGAGGTGCGGAGCCTGGGGGTGCTGAGCCTGGAGGTGCGGAGCCTGGAGGTACTGAGCCTGGAGGTGCGGAGCCTGGGGGTGCTGAGCCTGGAGGTGCGGAGCCTGGAGGTGCGGAGCCTGGGGGTGTTGAGCCTCACAGGGCACTCAGACGCTTCTTGGGCAGACGACCAGGCTACTCAGCGGTCGTCCCAGGGTTACACCTTCAGCCTTGGCTCTGGCTCAGTTTCTTGGCGTTCTACTCGCTCTTCTTCTGTTCTCAGCTCCAGTTGTGAGGCTGAGATCTACGCCACAGCCATGGCTGCTCAGGAGCTACGCTGGCTGACCTACCTGCTGACCGACCTCGGAGAGCGGCCTCGTTCTCCTCCAGTGCTGTACGTTGACAACAAGGCTGCCATTGCCTTGTGTGAGGAGCACAGACTGGAGCACAGAACGAAGCACATCGCTCTGCGGTACTTCCTTGCTCGAGAGCTGCAGCAGCGTGGTCAGCTTTGTCTGCGTTACGTGGCCACGGAGGCCAACACTGCTGATGTGTTCACCAAGGCGCTTCAGCCTTGTGACCATCAGCGCTTTTGCACTCTACTAGGCCTTGTACCTACTGGGCCTCACTTGCTTACCTCTTGACCTTGCTTGTACTGTGATCACTATATATATATGCCTACTTGTTTACTTTTGCTAGGTTGTGATCACTGTATCTCTTGCTTTGTTATAAACCTGCATGTGAACTGGTCTTGAGACCACTTGCTTGTGCTCGGAATTTGTGTGGAATCCTTGAGATCCACCCTGAGCTTGCTTTACTTTGCTTTGACTGGTCTTGTGACCCTGTGGTTGTCTCCCACTGCGCCTATGGGGGTGTGTCAAACATTGCATGTTTATATTGTCTAGGCTGTAGTGGGTTACACCTTAGGGGGTACACAAAGTTAGGGTTTACTACTTGTACCAAACTCTGTTCTAGTTTATTCATTCCTGCTCAGTTATTTCTGACAGTGCTCAGTAGGGCGTTCGCACCTGCAACATGCTCGAACAAAAGTGGTCCAAGGGTTGGGGTGTGATATGGGAAAAGGGTTTGGGGGTGATGTAAAGTACCAGCTAAGAAATGAAGTACGGAATATGGGATGTTGCAAGATAGGGGTGTTAGGGTTGAGATGGTGAGAAAGGGGGGAGGGGGGGAAGGTGGGGAAAACGACAAGCATATGTTTACTCACTCGGGCCATACTCCCCCCAAAGTTCCTCCTTGAGCTTGGTGTCGATGTGAATTTCCGCCGCCCGCAAGCCACTCATGGGAACCCCCAACCCCTCGAGCACGGTGCGTTTGATGTAAAACCCACGCTCGTTCTTCCACTGAGTGTACACGCGCTTGAATGCATCCCTGCGCGTTTTATCCGCCATGGCCTCCTTGAGTATGATCAAGGGAACCACGTAGTGCTCGGAAATGACTTCGTGCAAAACAAGAATGCGCTTCTCAAAGCTTGGGTAGAACGTGACAAGATGGTCCTCGGCTTCCATACATATGCGCGTCCGAGCTTCTTCCATGTAGAGCTGTTTAATACAACATAAGGTGACAAACAATGCAAAGGTAAACCACAATGACAGAGGAAGTGCAAAATTATGCGGTTGAAACGAAAAACCAGAGAGAACTAGTGGACGAGCCATTGCCACGGATGGGCCAGCCAATGGGGTTGAAAACCAGGATAATGATAATGACAATGACCATTGAAAAGAATAAAACCAGATCGGAAAAAAGCAAGTAAAGCCAAGGACTGCATGAGAGTGAGCACTGGCACGGATTGGAACCAGAGGGTTAGAGTAGTGGGAACCAGTTGGCTGAGAATGAGTGGTGAACCATAGCATGAGAATGAGGGGTACCACCAGAGGTTGAGGAAGGTTAAACCAGAGAATGAGAACAATGGGCAAACCAGAAATTGGGAATGAAGGGTAAAACGGAGATTGTGAATGAGAAAATGTAACTGCATGGAATGAAACCAGAGAGTGGGAATGACTAGACAAACCAAAAATGAGAATGATAACGCGGTACGGGATAATAGAATGATATAATGAACAAGCCAGCGAGTAGGGTCCAGCAATGGGTAAGTGAGATGGGTGGCACTTACCTTCAGATTTGTTGCATTAGGCATCCCATGCCTCCTGGTGATTGGAGTGCCTTGAACATCACTCTCCGCCACAGCGCCCGGCGTTTCGGGCGGCTCAGATTGCTCACTGGAGATCGAGGTAAGCGGCGGGACTTGCGTCCCGTTTAACCCCCGGTCCACCGAAGGTCCCCGACCTGCCTTTAGCTCTGCGATCTGCCGATTAGCTTCCTGCTAAGCCTGGAAGAGTTGCTGCATGGAATCATTAGGAGTGGTGCTTGAGGGAATGATGGGCACTCCGCTAGCGTTGAGCTGGGAATTGCCACCTGCCGATGCAAACGGGAGAGGAGTTGCTGGGTCAGAGCGTCCAACTTTCCTTTCATCATTGAACCAATCTCCAACACCACCCGCCTCACCCTCATTCGCCCCCAGCCCCCCACCACAGGCCGGATCGTCACCACCACCGGCTGGATTGAGCGTGTTGTCATGCTGCTGGCCCGCGTTCTCACGCACGCTCCGATCTTGAAATCGAGAAGCCCTCTTTCCCAATCCTGAGGTAGAAACAAGGGCAGCATACGGATCGTTGGTTGCTGCCCGTTTCATCCGAACGGTCTCCCGACGATTCGACGGACCAGCATCTTCCGAAAGACCCAAGGTCCTCATATCATTGTAGAAACCAAGGTCCTGTCTCACAACAGGACGCTCCTTAGGACGCCGATTGGGTCCCTCAGATTCTATGCGCTTTCCTTGAGCACGCTCTCGACGTCTCTGTCGTTTACGTCCATTACCGGCCTTACCACCGGTTGCATGACCACGCTTCCCACTATAGCGGTGGTTGCGCACTCCTCGTGCCCTCCCCCCTCTCCTACCGTCGTCATCACTCCCGGACCCGGATTCAACGTCATCACTCTCGTCCTCCTCCTCATCAAACTTCTCCTCGCTCCCGGAGGAACTCTCTGATTCCTCCTCCGTACTATCATCTTCATCTGAAGATTCCACCTCTGCAACGACCTTCTTTCCAGCATTTCTGGCCCGTGCCTTCACTCTCCCTGACACCCCCCTCTGATCTTCTAACTCTGCGCCACGTCTCTGTCAGAATATTATGCTATAGCCTGTAGTGGGGTGCTCTGTAGCGAGTACAACCCTTCTAGGGTTTGCTATTTGTATCCCCATTCTTGCTAGTTCATTCCTCTTTTGCCTAATTCTCTCAACATGCTATCAGAGCAGGACGATCCTGTTGGGTCGATCCTGTGGGTGGGCCCACCACCAAATGCTTCCGCTGCTGTTCTACTGGTCGCGCGACGCCTCCTTCCTGCCGCCGCGCGGAGCGCGCGACGAATTTTTTTTACGGATTTTTCATCCCGCCGCGCGCTCGGGGCGTGCGGCGGGTTTCTCCCCGCCGTGCGCCCCGAGGCGCGCGGCGGTTTCCTCCCGTGGGGGATGCCCGCGTCCCCCCGATCCCGTCGCCCGCGGCCCCCCGATCCCGTCGCCCGCGGCCCCGCGATCCCGTCGCCCGCGGCCCCCCGATCCCGTCGCCCGCGGCCCCGCGATCCCGTCGCCCGCGGCCCCCCGATCCCGTCGCCCGCGGCCCCGCGATCCCGTCGCCCGCGGCCCCCCGATCCCGTCGCCCGCGGCCCCGCGATCCCGTCGCCCGCGGCCCCCCCGCGGCCCCGATCCCGTCGCCCGCGGCCCCGCGATCCCGTCGCCCGCGGCCCCCCGATCCCGTCGCCCGCGGCCCCGCGATCCCGTCGCCCGCGGCCCCCCGATCCCGTCGCCCGCGGCCCCGCGATCCCCGCCCCCCCCCCCCCGATTCCCCATCGCTGCCCCGTGGTGGCGTCCTGGGGGCCGCGCGCCGTCCCCCTCGCCGTCCCCCGTGCTCCTTCCCCCGTTCCGCCCGTTTTTAGGGTTTGGGGGTGAGGAGTGTGGGGGTGGCAGCTATGGGGGTGCCGTGTGTGTGCGCCGTCTCCCACTGCTGCAGCTGCCGCTGAGGGGGGTGGATGTGTGGGAGCCGAGGGTTAGGGTTTAAAGGGGGGTGCCGTGGGAGTGGAGCTAGGGGTTCAGCAGGGGGTGTGTGTCGAGGGGTGTGGGATTGTTGGAGGAGGTTGAGCGGAGGCCGCCGTCGTGTCGTCCGCAGCGCCTGTATTCCGGGGGTCGATTAGCCACCGGTAGCTCAGAGAGCCGGTTGCGCCGTCGCCTGTGGGTCCGTTGCTCCTGCCGCGCATATTAGCCGCGGAGCCTGTTACTCCTGTACTCCGGGGCACTCATTCCCGGTAGCCACGTTGTCGCACCAGAGCCGTCTGTTGCCCGTGTGTCTGCAGCTTCAGTCGTCGCCTCCTATCTACTCTCCTCTCGCCAGCCCTCCTCCTCCTCACTTGCCCCCTGTGACTGCCTCTAGCTTTGCTCATAATTGTGAACCTTAAACTATTGCTTCTTGCTTGTGCTCAGAATGTGTGGTGACATCGTGATCCACCCTGAGCTTGTACTGCTTTGTTTCCTCTGCTGATTACACCCCACTTTGGCTATGGGGGTGTGTCAGAATATTATGCTCTAGCCTGTAGTGGGGTGCTCTGTAGCGAGTACAACCCTTCTAGGGTTTGCTATTTGTATCCCCATTCTTGCTAGTTCATTCCTCTTTTGCCTAATTTTCTCAACAGTCTCTCCCTCCCACCCTCCCCATGCCCACGAACATTCTGTGCATCATCCGCACGAGCACCTGCTGGAGTAGAGGGAAAAGACGCATCACGCTTCATATCACGCTCTCCTTCACGCTTTCCCTCACGCTCTCCCTCATGCTGCACATCACGCTCTCCCTCACGCTTCACAACACGCTCTCTTTCACGCTCTCCCTCCCTCTCCCTCTCCCTCTCGCTCTCCCTCTCGCTCTCCCTCTCGCTCTCCCTCTCGCTCTCCCTCTCGCTCTCCCTCTCGCTCTCCCTCCCGCCTGCCCTCACGCCTGCCCTCACGCCTGCCCTCACGCCTGCCCTCACGCTCACCCTCTCTCCTGCCCTCACGCTCTCCCTCACGCTCGTCCTCACGCTTATGCCCTTTCTCTGGCAGTTGCTCCTCGTCGCCTGCATCTTCTACATGTCCTGTTGCACCCGCTGCGTCTTGTTTTCCTTTTTTCTTTTTCTTGCCTCCGGCGCGGGTACCTACAACACGCATCAAGTAAAGACGATATGCTCAGATAATACGAGGGCAGCACCTCTCTGGATTGGGTGCGCACACAGCCAGGCTAATAACGAGCAACAATAAGACATACAAACACAAAGAAAGGATATAAAAGCTTGAGGCGTACCTTTCCTCCCTGTAGCAGGTTTACACTGGTCCAACGGCTTCAGCTTACGACCGTGCCTCCGCCCGCGTGAACCGCCGCGACCAACCTTGCCATCGTATGCCTCCTCCTCAGATTGCTCACTATCCGATGAAGATGCCCCCTCCAATTCCACCTGGGCATCGCGTGCTGGAAGCGTGTTCTTCCGACGATACCTCACAACTAGCTGCGAGGTATCATGAGGCGTCATCTTGTCGTGCAGCTTCTGTTCCGCGTCGGTTCTCGCGTCGCCTGAGAGTTGTAGAGCTCCAGCGCTACTGAGGAGCGCACTAGCATTGGCCTGATCAGTAACGATGATGTCCGCCATCTCTCTATCAATTCTGTTAAACAAGCACAATTAACGGCTACAGAACTGAGCTATGAAACCCACCTGATCAGATATTCTAATAATAGGCCTTAGAGTCTCAAGGAACAGCAGCGCGCGAGCTGGACATGCCGGCCAGAACAACAGCGCGCAATCGCACTACGTGCCCACGAAACGCGCCGACCAAAGTCGTGCAAGATAGAACAGCCGCGACACGCGCCATTTCTGGACGCGCCGTCCGAGAACAGAACCGCCGCGCCAAACCATGACGAACCTACTACGAGACCAGCACCGCCGCGCCAAGCAGTACGAGCCTACTACGAGACCAGCACCGCCGCGCGCCACGAGCCTACTCTGTTCCTGCACTGCCGCGCCAAAGGAGGACGTGCCTACTACGAGAACAGCACCGCCGCGCCAAGCAGGACGTGTCTACTAGTATGAGAACAGCACTGTGACAACTATTACGTGGCTAGCACAAACAGCTTCTCACTTTGCATATAGTGCCAGAGGAACCATCTACATGGACGAACAGATAGTAGTTGCTTGACGTACCTACCGTAGAAGGATATCGTGAGGAGAACCTAACTGCTACCAGCTAGACAATCTGGGTGCTTCGGACGTGGAGGGTATCGTGGTCTCCACTCCCCTCTTGAGCGTCGGCATCCAGATGCTTGTTCCTGTAACGAATTCCCACATGGCAGCACGCTGGGTGGTGGTGGTGGATCACGACAGTTCAACTGCCCTTGAAGTTGCAGGGAACGCGCTGGCAATGAGCCATTATTTCAAATCCTAGTTTTGAGCAGCCTAATAGGGCTAGTCGCGGGGGCGTTCGAGTAAGTAATTACACGCGTGAGTACGGGAACCGAACCAGGCCTTTGCCGCACTACAAAATAACAAGGAAAAAAAAAAACCAAGGTGACAGCAGCAATTTGGCAGCGCGTTGTCGGTGCACTAGCGCGCTTCGAGCCGTGGTGGATTTCGAACATCGCGGTACGTGAGTGCCATTCCTGGTTGCGTTGAAATTTCGATTTCATGGCACCACTCTTTGTAGCGAGGATGTTCCTGGTCTGACGTTATTTGAGTATGACGAATTAGGGTAATATTGGAATACTTGTTTACATAAACTCACTTAAAAAGTAGTTAACAATAGGGTGTTTCGAAACAGCAATCCTTCACGCATAAACTAGCAGTATAGGAAACAATATATACCTCCCACTAAAACATCATTGGCGATATAGGGTGAATACTAGGCGTGAGTGCCATTACACTCTGGGTTTAACAACGTCCAAGTCTACAGCCATCAATACGCACTATGCAATTGTTGAGAGCAAGCACAGTCAGTTTCACACCAACAACTGGCATGCCATGTAGATGTTGCAGATCTGGTGAATATAGAAGCTGCGTAGTGGCCTCATTGCTGCGTTCATTGGCCGATGCATACCACATTATCTAGGGTGCTGCAATAGAACGATAATGTGTTTCCCGTGCGCGCCAGTTATCATGAGTCCATAGGCTATGTAATGGATTTCTTATAGCTTTCTGTCTGGTGTAAATCAGTTATCAAACTGTCAGGCAAGTTTGCATGAAACGATGAGCAGTACAGCGCAGCAGAACGTCAGGTGCTAATGCATGTCACTAACTACTAGCAAGCAGGCTTAGGGGTTTCGATCAGCCTGGATCAAACTACTTGCATGGTCCAACGACAGAGGACCACTTAGCCAAATCGTGACGATATTGGCGCCTCCACTGTCTTGGTGTCCCGACCAGGTCAGACGCATTCAAACTGTCGAACTTGGTCTCGACAAGCGTATGAATGACACGCATCACAAAAACGCCGCAGTCATTCTCGTTGTCCTGCTGGCGCATCTGCAGATTGCACAAAAATCAGGTGATTCATAAAAGGCGTTACCATGAGCAGCTTTCAGCGCTCCAGCCCCTTCCCCCCCCCTCTCCGCCCCCCCCCACCTTCCCTGCTCATCCGCGCATCCCATGCCTTCTCCATGCGCATCACACAACTCACACTCCGGAGTAGGAGCAGGGAAGGGCGAAGAGGAGTAGGAGCAGGGAAGGGCGTAGAGGAGTAGGAGCAGGGAAGGGAGGAGAGGAGTAGCAGCAGCGAAGGGAGGAGAGGAGTAGCAGCAGCAGAAAAGGGCGGAGAGGAGTAGCAGAAGGGAAGGGAGGAGAGGATTAGCAGCAGGGAAGGGAGGAGAGGAGTAGCAGCAAGGAAGGGAGGATAGGAACAGCAGCAGGGAAGGGAGGATAGGAACAGCAGCAGGGAAGGGAGGTGAGGAGTAGGAGGGGGGAAGGAAGGAGAGGAGTAGCAGCAGGGAAGGGAGGAGAGGAGCAGCAGTAGGGAAGGGAGGAGAGGAGCAGCAGCAGGGAAGGGAGGAGAGGAGCAGCAGCAGGGAAGGGAGGAGAGGAGCAGCAGCAGGGAAGGGAGGAGAGGAGCAGCAGCAGGGAAGGGCGGAGAGGAGTAGCAGCAGGGAAGGGAGGAGAGGTGCAGCAGTAGGGAAGAGAGGAGAGGAGCAGCAGCAGGGAAGGGAGGAGAGGATCAGCAGCAGGGAAGGGAGGAGAGGAGCAGCATCAGGGAAGGGAGGAGAGGAGCAGCAGCAGGGAAGGGAGGAGAGGAGTAGGAGGGGGGAAGGGAGGAGCATTTAACTTTCTCCGGAGTAGGAGCAGGGAAGGGCGGAGAGGAGTAGGAGCAGGGAAGGGCGTAGAGGAGTAGGAGCAGGGAAGGGAGGAGAGGAGTAGCAGCAGGGAAGGGAGGAGAGGAGTATCCCATACGCGCATCCCATGCCTCTCTATCTTCATCACAAAACCCACCCTCCCCTACTCGTCCGCACATCCCATGCCTTCTCCATGCGCATCACAAAACTCACCCTCCCCTACTCATCCGCGCATCCCATGCGTTCTCCATGTGCAGCACACAACTCCCCCTCCCCTACTCATCCGCGCATTCCATGCCTTCTCCATGCGCAGCACACAACTCCCCCTTCCCTACTCATGAAGGCATCCCATGCCTTCTCCATGCGCAGCACACAACTCCCCGTTCCCTACTCATGAAGGCATCCCACGCCTTCTCCATGCGCAACACACAACTCCCCCTTCCCTACTCATCCGCACATCCCATGCCTTCTCCATGCGCATCACAAAACTCACCATCCCCTACTCATCCGCGCATCCCATGCCTTCCCCATGCGCATCACTACTCACACTCTCGTACGCACATCCCATGTCTGTCCATGCGCATCACAAAACTCACCCTCCCATACTTATACGCACATCCCATGCCTTCTCCATGCGCAGCACACAACTCCCCTTCCCTACTCATGAAGGCATCCCATGCCTTCTCCATCCGCAGCACGCAACTCCCCCTTCCCTACTCATCCGCACATTGCCTTCCCCATGCGCATCACAAAACTCACCCTCCCCTACTCATCCGCGCATCCCGTGTCTGTCCATGCGCAGCACACAACTCCCCCTCCCCTACTCATCAGCGCATCCCATGCTTGTTCATGCGCGGCCTGTCCCACACCACTCCTCCCTTAATCCGTGAATTTACATACCGCTATGGCGTTAAACTGAATCGCAGCTGCCCAGGCATTTGCTTCGGTCTCCGTGACCCACGCGTAGCGCTGCATGACCTGACTCATCAAACACCTGCGCATTGAGACGTACTGCTTGTTAACACCGGTTCCCAACAAGCGCGTTTCATACGCAGCACATATCTCACTTTCTTAATGGTCCATCAATGTCGACGTGAGTTCCATATGAGTCCGCATGCCATAGGACACACTTGATTGGGATAAGGGATCCCGGCGCGTGCTTAATTTCGATAACAGCAAGGCTCCAGTGCGCACTGCGATGTAATCGAGACATCCAAAGTCGTTAGTTTGCAGCACATGTGTACGTGCAACACAGTAATAAAACGACCCGACCACTTACTCCTTGCTAATCGGAACAAGAACATGCTTAAACGACAAGATGTCAAGTCCATAGGCCTGCCTAGTGATCCTCTTCGTCTCAGGGCGTGCTACAAGGGTCCAGAAATAAGGCGATGTGCAAAGCCAGGACGCATTGTCTAGTCCGTACTCATAGTGTAACATTCTGCATGATCGACATAAAAATATGCAAAGTCGGTGCAGCTCGTGAGAAACTAAAAGCAAGGATTAACAAATCAGATTACCCTGTGTTCAAGAGTGAGCTACTCACGATGAGACACTCGATAACCGTGCCACTGATCCACTGCTCGTTTCCCAGCGTGCGGTAATCTGAGGGCTTGATTTCAAGGGATCCCCCAAACGGGGATGGCATGCTCATGTGCTGGAAACGACATCGCGATAACTTGGGTATGCCCTTCTCCTCCATACCTTGAGATAGCAAACTTGGCTAGATGAGGATCTTGCTTCAGGTAAGGGTCGAAATTCTGTTGCCCAGCTAGCTCAACGAATTGTCGAAGCAGGTACTGTACTGTAGTTCCCGAAGGAGGACCCACACGCCCTGCACCTTCGTTGGTCAACTTTGTGCAAAAATCCCTGCTCCCATACGTCGTCAGAAAATAGCGTGCTCTTGATACCCGGTGGAATTGGTGAACAGTGTTGGGCGGTCTGACAGGATTCTCTGCTCCAATGACATTGTTGCGGCTTGTATTTTTCAGACACAATTGGCTACGCGAAAATGATGTCAGGTCCATGTCGCAAGCGGAAACGACCCTCGCCAACTTGTTTCCAGTTGGGTACAGAACCTCGTCAGATTGCTGCGACAAGAAAGCAGTTTTTGTACGCGAAACCAGTTACACCGGGAGATGCTGAGTATGAGAGTCGCAAGGCCAATTCGCCTACCTGCGCGGTTGTCGCGCACCACTAAACAGGGTGACCTATCACTTCGAGCAGTACATCAACAACCCTAACCAATTGCAAACCAACGACTGACACTCGATGAACAATCGCCAATCAGAGTCACGGGAAACATATGCTCAGACTCAGATCGCCAATTCCTGTGCGCGCCAAATCATTCCCTCGCCTTTCAGTAAACTATCGACCACACATACGATGGGCGCTAACTCACCACGGTGCGGTGTTACCATTCACGTCTCAAGCTGGTGTGCCAAGCACCATTTCCGTCCTACGGGCAGGTCTGCTCGATGGATGGTCAGGCTTGCGAGTTCTGTAATAAGCGCGTGTACTGCTATCAAACAGTGGCTAGCCATCAAGCTAACCATGGCGGCTGTAAGCGGGCCCAAAGACGCAAGGCTCAGGAGGCTGCTGAACGAAAGAAGTTGTGTCGTGACGTTGAGGCGCAGCATACCTTTGTCCCGTTAGCAACAGCCACCCTTCCCGCGCCAGCGCATTCAATTCCCTTAGCATCACTTCCGAACGCAGTAGAGCAGCACCCGCAGCCGGCAGAGCGAGTTCCAGATGCGGTTCATACGTGTAGCACTATACTCGTGGTGGAAGAAGCTCCTACTGAGGAAATTCTCGATGTTAAGGCGGAAATCTGCATTTTGGCACGATCTCACGGACTTACCAACGGGGCGATTAACGACACGATACAGTTAGTTAGACATCCGAAATTAGATCCAAAGCAGCTGGACGATTGGAACAGCTACAGGGACCTGGAGAAGTACGAGAACAGCTTTGACCTTGGAGCGGAGAATGAATGGATCGTCGAGGAGCTCGAAGTGGATCACGAAGTTGGGTTTCTCACCTTCAAGCGCCGAAACGCGATAACTGTGAGTGTATCCCTAGTGCGGTGTCACGTTCATCAGAGTGGAATGTGTTTAGTGATGACGACTAAACCATGAGTTCAAGGGGAACCATGCGTGCTTACGCATCTGTTTTCGATCACTGTTTCCATAATTATCACCATCAGCTCCTTCAGGCCATGTTCAAGAAGATGTCGGCTGTCAAGGGATTCAGCATCATGCCTCAAGAGTGGAAGGTTGACGGGGTTCGCCGCTACAGTACCCCTGCAAACACGGATTGGATGCTCGAGGCATGGGTAAGTTCCACGCCATCTCATGTCGCGTTGGACACGAGCATCGAAACCTAGGATCCAATACATCTTTCCTTCCCTTTATCATCACTGTGGCAGGAGAGGGTGCGGAAGTTTGGCATAGTTTTAGCGCTCATTCTGTTCTCGGACCAGACCAATCTATCGTACAACGGCCGCCAATCTGCCCACCCATTTCTGTTGTCCTTTGGGAATATTCCAGAATGGGCTAGGTGGCTGGAAGGAGGCACTGAGCTTCTCGGCTTCCTGCCGAATATCCCAGCTGACCTCTCGCCAGAAAAAAAGGTTCGAGTGTTCCAGGACGCTGCAGAGATCATGATTCGAGATTTAAAGGCGGCTTCACATATTTCAGGGTGAGACACTGCTAATGTCGCCCAAAGGCGCGCATCCCTTGTACTCTCCAGTATCCACACCACTACTTTTTTCCATTCCCTGTTTCATACACACTCCCCTCCCTTTTTGACCCCCCTTCTCCTCTGTTCTTGTTTCGAATGCGTGCCACCAAGACGGATTCTGTCATTACTCTCCTGCCAGCTACCATCCGCCTCACCTAGTACCGTTCCGGTACCTCCCATACCACCATCTCCTGCCGTTTAAACCCTCCCTGCTCGCTGTCCCCCTCCTCCTAACCGTCCTTCGTCTGCTTGGTTACAACAACCCATGCTCACACCATTTCTGACATATCTAACATGTTCTCCCATCCTCGCCCTCCCCGTCCCTCTCCCTGTTTTCCCACACATACTGGCGGCTGTGCAGGGGCGGTGTGATGGTGGAAGACAGTGCCGGTGTGCAGTATAGAGCATTCACGCTCCTTTACTCATGGGTGGCGGATCACCCGGAGTCCTCTAAGATCACTTGTACGATGGCATGCAACTCACTCCATCCGTGCTCGTTGTGCTTGGTGGAAAAGGAGCGATTGGATGAGATGACATTTGAGTTGACTCAACAGCCTCCTGATAAGAAGCGCCTGGATGAACAGGAGGACACCACTGTCGTCGGAAATGTCACGGCTCAGAAGGAATCCGCGACAACCCAAAAGAAGCAGGAAGACTCCATTTTCCTCAGAACTGTCAAGGGTCAGAAGGACGCTTACAAGGAGATGGACTCCGCGAAAACCAAAAAGAAGCTGAAGGCGGTGAAGAAGAAGTCTTCTACGCACTTCGTGAAGGTGCGCTTGGTCTGCGTGCATCGTAGCGGTTCACATCTGGTTTCCCTCCATATCCACCATACACTGCAGTGGCTTGTATGCTTGGCAATCTAATCCAATCTGCAGCTTGCTGTTCGTGTTTATCACCCTGATCCGCCATAGTGACTCTGTGTCCTTGACCCCCAACGCAGAGCCTTTTGTGGGACTGGGAATTTGCAAAAACTCTCTGGGGGAACACGTACCTCGCTGTCCCCCCGGACATCATGCACATCTGGGAGCAGGGCATATGGCTGCATGCCATGAAGTGCCTTGTGAAGAAGCTGACTCCAAAAGAACGGAAGATTCTTCTGGAGTGAGTTTTTCCGCGCCCTACTTCCTGATGTTACTCCCCTCCTTGCTTCCTTTCCGCGCCCTGCTTCATGCTACTCCCCTCCGTGCTTTCTTTCCCCTCCCTGCTTCATGCTACTCCCCTCCGTGCTTTCTTTCCCCTCCCTGCTTCATGTGACTCCCCTCCGTGCTTGCTTTCCCCTCCCTGCTTCATGCTACTCCCCTCCATGCTTTCTTTCCCCTCCCTGCTTCATGCTACTCCCCTCCGTGCTTGCTTTCCCCTCCCTGCTTCATGCTACTCCCCTCCGTGCCTGCTTTCCCCTCCCTGCTTCATGCTACTCTCCTCCGTGCATGCATCCCCCTCCCTGCTTCATGCTACTCCCCTCCGTGCTTTCTTTCCCCTCCCTGCTTCATGTGACTCCCCTCCGTGCTTGCTTTCCCCTCCCTGCTTCATGCTACTCCCCTCCGTGCTTGCTTTCCGCGCCCTGCTTCATGCTACTCCCCTCCGTGCTTGCTTTCCCCTCCCTGCTTCATGTGACTCCCCTCCGTGCTTGCTCCCCCCTCCCTGCTTCGTGCTACTCCCCTCCGTGCTTGCTTTCCGCGCCCTGCTTCATGCTACTCCCCTCCGTGCTTGCTTTCCCCTCCCTGCTTCATGCTACTCCCCTCCGTGCCTGCTTTCCCCTCCCTGCTTCATGCTACTCCCCTCCGTGCCTGCTTTCCCCTCCCTGCTTCATGCGACTCCCCTCCGTGCTTTCTTTCCCCTCCCTGCTTCATGCTACTCCCCTCCGTGCCTGCTTTCCCCTCCCTGCTTCATGCTACTCCCCTCCGTGCCTGCTTTCCCCTCCCTGCTTCATGCTACTCCCCTCCGTGCCTGCTTTCCCCTCCCTGCTTCATACTACTCCCCTCCGTGCCTGCTTTCCCCTCCCTGCGTCCTGCTACTCCCCTCCGTGCCTGCTTTCCCCTCCCTGCTTCATGCTACCCCCCTCCGTGCCTGCTTTCCCCTCCCTGCTTCATGCTACTCCCCTCCGTGCCTGCTTTCCCCTCCCTGCTTCATGCTACTCCCCTCCGTGCCTGCTTTCCCCTCCCTGCTTCATGCTACTCCCCTCCGTGCCTGCTCTCCCCTCCCTGCTTCATGCTACTCCCCTCCGTGCCTGCTCTCCCCTCCCTGCTTCATGCTACTCCCCTCCGTGCCTGCTTTCCCCTCCCTGCTTCATGCTACTCCCCTCCGTGCCTGCTTTCCCCTCCCTGCTTCCTGCTACTCCCCTCCGTGCCTGCTTTCCCCTCCCTGCTTCGTGCGACTCCCCTCTGTGCTTGCTTTCCGCGCCCTGCTGAACTGTTACTCACGTCCAGGCGATACAAGATCTTGAAGGAGGTCACACCCGCTTCCGTGCTCCGTCTTCCTTCGGCTTGGGCCTACTTCACATCCACTGCCTGCTTTTCAGCTTCAGAGCATCGGGCGATGATGCAGGTCCTGCCCCTCATCATCAATCTCCCAGGACGAGAAGATATCCGCACGGCCATTGTGCTTATGGTCGAGTGGTACAAGGAGTTCATCCGCGCTGAGTACCACACCGACGACTCTCTGAATCGGATGAAAGACGCCACCATCAAGTAATTGCTCCGTCTGTTTGGTGGTTTCCCAAGCCCTTAAATGCCACGTACACACAGTTTCCTTGTCTCGCCCGTACCTTACATGCTCCACCCACCCTCTTTCATAGGCCTGCCTTCTCTGTTCATTTGTTGCTAGTCTTACCCTATTTCTCCCAACTCACCATGTCCTCCTCCTCTTTCCCTTCTCTTCATCCAGTCACAATGCACATTGCATCCCGTTTGTACAATACCAAGCTTGTTGCTCAGCTCCCTACCAGCTTCACCTTCATACTCGCTTGTTTCTCCATTCCGTGCAATAATTTCCCCGGCTCCATAGTACGAGTACTCCATGACCTTTGGCTGCACTCCTTCCATGAAGGTTTTGCATGACACATCTTCTCTCTCTGAACTGCATCGCTGTCCTTCCATAACCCACCTTCCTGATCCCTCCTTCCGTGTTTCTCTTTTCGCACCTGCTTCCTCACTCCCCCTCCCGCATCCCGTTTCTCCCTTCCCGGCCTGCTTTCCCCCCCTTAACTGCATGCGTTGTATCTAAATTTTCTCCCCAGGATGGTGAAGGCTCTTCGTGTCGCTTTCCCAAAGCAGAAGTCAAAGTGGAAACTTGTTAAGATTCATCTCCTCGTTCACCTCCCATCAACCATCCGTCTTCGGGGAATCCCTGCCGAGTACTCGTCGAACTGCTACGAGCACTCTCACAAGACCACTGTGAAGCGTCCTTCACGTGGCACCAACTGGAAGAATGTTGAAGATCGAATTGTCCGGAAACACCTGGAGCATGCGGTAGTTAGACAACTAGCGCGGGAGGCCGGCGGGGACAGCACGTACGAGACCTCGATGAAAGAGGTGAGCTTTACAAATCTGCTCATGCTCTCTCCCCCTGCTCTGTTTCCCTGTTCGGTTCTCATGCTCTCTCCCCCAGCTCTGTTTCCCTGCTCGGTTCTCTTGCTCTCTCCCCCTGCTCTGTTTCCCTGCTCCCTTCTGTTGCTCTCTGCCCCTGCTCTGTTTTGTGGTTTCCCAATTCTCTTGCTCTAAACCCTGCTCTGTTTCGCTGCTAGTTTCTCATGCTCTCTCCCCCTGCCCTGTTTCCCTGCTCGGTTCTCATGCTCTCTCCCCCTGCTCTGTTTCCCTGCTCGGTTCTCATGCTCTCTCCCCCTGCTCTGCTTCCCTGCTCAAATCTCTTTCTCTCTCCCCCTGCTTTGTTTCCCTGCTTGTTTCTCATGCTCTGTCCCCAACTCTGTTTCCCTGCTCGGTTCCCATGCTCTCTCCCCTTCTCTGTTTCCCTGCTCGGTTCTCATGCTCTCTCCCACTGCTCTGTTCCCAACGGTCATTTCCCCTTCGTTGTGTTCTGCTCTGTTACCCTGCTATGTTCCATGCTGTGTCACCCCTGCTCAACGCCCTGTTCTGTTTCCCAGCTCTGTTCCCTGCACTGTTTCCATGCCATGTTCCATTCTGTGTCTGCCCTGCCCTGTGCCCTGCGCTGTTCCCTTCACTGGTTCCCTGCTTTGTTCCATTCTGTGTCTGCCCTGCTCTGTGCCATGTTCTGTAAGCCATTCTCTTTGCCCCAATGTCTGGTTCCCTGCTCTCTGCATGAGTTGGCAATCACATTTAGGACCAACCTAACCAAAGTAATCGATTCCTACCCCCCCATCCCCTTCTTCGTCCCCACAACCTCTGACCCTTTCCCCCACACCCATTCCCCCTCTCCCTGGCCCTCTCCTTCGCCTAAAACCCCGCCTCCATCCCCTATCCCCCGCCCCTCCTCCTCCCTCCAGAAGCACTCACCATTCAACCCTCCCCCTCCCTATACCAACCCCTCTCCTCTCCACGGTGACAGGCATGCCTGAAGGGCCGGAGGGTGCTTACTAAGACCCACAAGAAGATGGTACTGGGGGACATCACCGACTCAGTGTTTCGGAGTTACGTCTTGACTGTTGGCGAACCCGCCATGAGTGCGATGGTTGTGCGCCTCAAACGGGCAGGCATCAACACGCAAGTCTTGCAGGTGCATTCCTGGTTGTATAAGACATGACTTTTCTGTCTCAGTGCCGCCGAATCCACCCACTCCAGCCCCGCTTCCCCCTCACCTGCATGCTTTCCACCCACTCCAGCCCCGCTTCCCCCTCTCCTGCATGCTTTCCACCCACTCCAGCCCCGCTTCCCCCTATCCTGCATGCTTTCCACCCACTCCAGCCCCGCTTCCCCCCTCTCCTGCATGTTTTCCACCCACACCAGCCCCGCTTCCCCCTCTCCTGCATGCTTTCCACCCACTCCAACCCCGCTTCCCCCTCTCCTGCATGCTTTCCACCCACTCCAGCCCCGCTTCCCCCTCTCCTGCATGCTTTCCACCCACTCCAGCCCCGCTTCCCCCTCTCCTGCATGCTTTCCACCCACTCCAGCCCCGCTTCCCCCTCTCCTGCATGCTTTCCACCCACTCCAGCCCCGCTTCTCCCTCTCCTGCATGCTTTCCACCTACTCCAGCCCCGCTTCTCCCTCTCCTGCATGCTTTCCACCCACTCCAGCCCCGCTTCCCCCTCTCCTGCATGCTTTCCACCCACTCCAGCCCCGCTTCCCCCTCACCTGCATGCTTTCCACCCACTCCAGCCCCGCTTCCCCCTCTCCTGCATGCTTTCCACCCACTCCAGCCCCGCTTCCCCCTCTCCTGCATGCTTTCCACCCACTCCAGCCTCGCTTCCCCCTCTCCTGCATGCTTTCCACCCACTCCAGCCCCGCTTCCCCCTCTCCTGCATGCTTTCCACCCACTCCAGCCCCGCTTCCCCCTCTCCTGCATGCTTTCCACCCACTCCAGCCCCGCTTTCCCCTCTCCTGCATGTTTTCCACCCACTCCAGCCCTTGGTCAATTCCCCCCTATATCGTTATGCTCTCCACCGCCTCATTCGATGCTTTCCCATTTTCTTGATTCATGCTCGTGGTTTCAGGTGCACACGGCACTTGCAATTCCGCCCCACGACAAGATGGAATGGACGTCAAGGGGGCAGTTTGTCAAGGCTAGCCCAGGCGAGAAGAACTTCTCATCTGTTGCAATCAACCCTTCAGGGAAGGGATCCCCCTGGTACGGCCGTTGTCTTGTCCTGTTTCACTACAACAAAGATGGCGAGCTGAGGCGCGGAGCATACGTGGAGTATTACACCGAGGACAAGAGACTGTGCCCGTCAACGGGATGCAAGCGCCTTCTACCCACAGAGGGCATAGATGATTATGCAGTGATTGATGTCGACTGCATTCTTAGTCTCGTGCACATCGTTCCTTCTTGTGAGGACGATGAAGTGAGCCTTCTTAATAGATTCGTTTGGTGAGGTCTAGCAAACGTAGACAACTTTGACGCATTGTGACTTTTGTAAACATTAAATTGTCCCTTGACTGTAGATTTACTTAGGCCTTTAGAATCTAATAGGTGTGAAATTTCCTTCACCAGATAAAAAACATGACTATTGGAAACACTATTAATAATAGAGAAAGTTACATCAAATTCATAAACAACATAAGTTCAAATGTCATGTATGTAACCAATACACAAAAGTCTAAACAAGGGATTCTTCCGGAGAACAAATTTCTCGCTATCTGCTCCCACGCGAAGAGTCATGCTCGAATCTAGGAATCTGTTAGAACCCGGAACCCTAATCCTGCGCGTAGGCAAGAAACAGTTAGGAGCAAACATTCAGAATGTGCCTGGAAAACATATCGCTGAAGACAAACGTTTTTCAGAGTTTCCCTGTACGTTTTTCAAACGATCGTCAAACGTACGATCGACCGTCGAAATGTCAGATGATTTTAAGACACACGCATTTTTGTGATGTAGGTCCTTTCATTCCCCCCAGCTAGACCCTTTCATTCTCCCCAGCTAGGCCCTTTCATTCCCCCCCGCTAGGCCCTTTCATTCCCCCCAGCTAGGCCCTTTCATTCCCCCCAGCTAGGACCTTTCATTCCCCCCAGCTAGGCCCTTTCATTCTCCCCAGCTAGGCCCTTTCATTCCCCCCAGCTAGGCCCTTTCATTCCCCCCAGCTAGGCCCTTTCATTCCCCCCAGCTAGGCCCTTTCATTCCCCCCAGCTAGGCCCTTTCATTTCCCCCAGCTAGGCCCTTTCATTCCCCCCAGCTAGGCCCTTTCATTCCCCCCCGCTAGGCCCTTTCATTCCCCCCATCTAGGCCCTTTCATTCCCCCCAGCTAGGCCCTTTCATTCCCCCCAGCTAGGCCCTTTCATTCCCCCCAGCTAGGCCCTTTCATTCCCCCCAGCTAGGCCCTTTCATTCCCCCCAGCTAGGCCCTTTCATTCCCCCCAGCTAGGCCCTTTCATTCCCCCCAGCTAGGCCCTTTCATTCCCCCCAGCTAGGCCCTTTCATTCCCCCCAGCTAGGCCCTTTCATTCCCCCCAGCTAGGCCCTTTCATCCCTCCCTGTTGGACCCTTTCATCCCTCCCTGCTGGACCCTTTCATCCCTCCCTGCTAGGCCCTGCCCATTTATGCCCCGCTGCTATGCCCTTATCATTGTCACCTGCTTCGCCCTTTCATGCCCCCTCTGCAAGGCTCATCGCCCATTCGCTTTCACCTGCTAGGCCCTTTCATTTCCCACTGCCAGGCCCTTCCCCCTCCTCCCCCCACCCCCTCCCTCCCCCCCCCCCCCCCCCCCCCCCCTGCTAGTCCCTTCCATCCCCACCCTGCTAGGCCCTTTCACCCTCCCTGCAAAGCCCTTTATTTTCATCTGCTACG